AATCTAATCCAGGGCCTCATGCATGCAAGGCAAGCACTCTACCACTGAACCACCTTACAAGCCCATCTTTAATTATTTCTGCCTACTTTTGTTTTAGTTATATTTTGTTTCTGAATTTTGTTTAAATCTGGATGTTTTTATCTTTATTTGTGGATTTAATCCATTCATATTTGTGGTTATTGTATGTTTTAACATAGTCCTGAAGTTTTACTTCATCTTCACTTTATAATTGTTCTATCATTTTGGTGTTTAGGTGTTTTTCCTTTTTAAAAGCCCTTTGTTAAATCACAGACATAAAGGGAAAATTACCTGAACTGATTTATATCTGTCCTGATGCTTATGCTTAAAATTGTAATGACCTTTTTGTTTGTTGGTTTGTTTATTTGGAAGTACTGGGGTTTAAAACTCAAGGCCAATGCTCTACTGCTTGAGCATCTTTTTTCTGGTTATTTTGGAAATTAGACTCTGACAGGCTCACTCCCCCACCCCCATTGGCTTCAAATCACAACCATCCAGATCTCAGCCTCCTGAATTGCTAAGATTATAGGCATGAGTCACCAAGCTCCTAGTTGTATTGTCATGGTTTTCTACGTACACAATGCTGTCCAATAGAATTTTCTGCAATGCTAAAAATATTCCTGTGCTATCTAACATGGCAGTCACTAGCTGCTAATGCCCAAAATGTTAGTGAGGCCCAGGAACTGAAATTTTAATTGTTTACCAGTCATCCTGGGTAAAGACTACTGGACAGCTCAGACCTCCAAGACCCTCTTTTTTCCATCCCTTGTACAAAATAAGAATATTAGCCTGCTTGTGCCATGTGTTCTTTTTCACCACCTCCCATATGGAAATTAATCACTAAGATTTCTCTTCTAGATACATTGTTTTATATTATGCATCACAAATTATCCTTAAGTTTTGTTGGGTGCTTTTTTTTTTACTATGTTTTATACATTAGATCTCCCTTTTATATTAGGAATCCTCTAATTCTTTCAGGGAGTAACTAAATGGTAAAATTTGGACTTTTGGGGCTGGGAAGGTGGCTCAGTGGTAGAGTGCTTGCCTTGCATGCATGAGGCCCTGGGTTCGATTCCTCAGCACCATATAAGCAGAAAAAGCCAGAAGTGGCGCTGTGGCTCAAGTGGTAGAGCTCTAGCTTTGAGCTAAAAAGAGCTGAAAAACAGCACCTAGGCCCAGAGTTCAGGCCCACATCCGACAAAAAAAAAAAGTTTGGACTCTTTCCTATTTCTGTTCTAATTTACTATGAAGTATTAGTTTGAATAGTTGTAGGGTTCTAGGCTCAGAATTAATTTTCCATTGCAACTATGAAAATGAAGTTCTAATGTATTCTAGTATCCAACTGAAGTCTGATGCTGGTACAACTCTCAATCCTTTTCTCAGGACATCTGTCTTTTGGTTTTGGTTTTATGTTTGGATAGTTTTCCTTTATCTTTACCATTCCAGAAGAAAAAGTCTTCATCACAGTTATTAGGTGTTTTCTACTTCTTTGATATATTTCATTCAACTACTGTTCTGTTGTAGAATTCTATTTTTGATATATGTTAGAATTTCTTGCTCAATCCTCTATATACCAAATTTTTTCTTATTAGCTTATTTTGCCTTTTTTCCCCAGTACATTTTTCCAATAAATCTCCTTTCTAGCACATGAATTACCATTTCCATGTCTATGTCTCTTCACAATATTTTGTATCTCTAAACTCCTTAGAGAGTTTGCCTAGGAAGTGCCAAAAATATAATTTTTTGAGGACTTTTACACTGACATTGAAGTCTTGGGTTTGCTATGTTGTCTAATTTGTATGTAGTGTCTCTCAAACATAATGTAATCCATTAAGTCTTTGTGTTTTGGTCTTCTTTGTCTGTACATCTTAGTTAACTGTCTCTTGTAACCATGAGAATCCACGATAGATACTGGTCTTGTGTGACTTTGGGATGTAGAATTCCTTTCCTGCTTACAATGATATGTGATATGTGAGCTGGAGTCCTCCCCTTCTCTTTGGCTCCTGTAAGCTCTATAATAAATATTCTCATTTCTGAAGAAATGGCATAGTCTATTAGGGAATATCACTAGATTTGTGTCTGACCTTTATAAATATGTCATTATTCCAAGCTCTGCTGTACTTATGCCAACGTACAGTTGATTGCCAAACAGGGCTTGGGTTATTCCCTAGGGAAGCTAAAGGGTATGTTTTTCCACTGTAGCTATTTTAAGAGTCACTCATGTCTTCTTTTTCTTCATGTAAATAGTCTTGTTCTCAAATCTACATCCTACATTCTAGCTGACCTTCCTGTGAGTCCTCCATTTCATACCTATCTCCCTCCCTGTCCAGGATATCTGAGCTTGCTGAAAAGACTTCCATAGAAAATTTCCTTTATAGCTCAAAGGTTTTGGTTTTAGCCAGGCACTGGTGGCTCACGCCTGTAATCCTAGCTACTCAGGAGGCTGAGATCTGAGAATCATGGTTCAAAGCCAACCTGGGCAGAGAAATCCTCAAGAGACTCATATCCAATTAGCCACTCGAAAACTGGAAGTGAAGCTGTGGCTCAAAGTGGTAGAGCACTAGCCTTGAGTAAAAAGAGCTCAAGAGACAGCATCCAGGACCCAAGTTCAAGTCTCACAACCAACTATAAAGAACAAAAAGAAAAGTGAAAGGTTTCAGTTACAGAGTTTGTGTAAGTTTTATATTGTAAAGAAGTATAAACCAACATGGAAACCCATGTTCTAGTTCATATTCTCACCAACATATGACTGGCAAACTCCTTGGAAATTGAAAACTGCAAGAGAAATGTGTGATGGATTTTAAAAGTATCATTTAAAGTTTAGACACACTCAAGGTTAAAGTATATGGTATCAGTAAAAAAAAATTATTTTCTGTTTCTAGACTCTGCATAAAATTTCCATTCATATGAAGTAGAGCTGTGGCTCAAATGGTAGAATTCTAGTTTTGAGCAAGAAAAGCTAAGGGACAGTGCCCTGGCCCAGAGCCCAGTAGTAATACAGAAACTTTCTACTCATACTTACATCAACATTCACAGTGTGGTAATCTGAATTGGTAGGTAACCAGGTATGATTGCCTTCAGAAAACCCAGCATTTGAACTATTGTCCCACTGCATTGGTGACTTTGAAAAAAGGGTATTCTGCATCAAAAGATCAGAAAGAGAAAAACAATGGTCAGGTTACTAAAAGAAATGTATTTTGGTCCTTCTAATATATTTCATAATTAATTGACTATAGTTCATAGCTAATACTTGTATTCATTAGCACTCAAACAGTTGCAGTGGAAAACAGCCAATAGTAACACCTTGCATCTGAGTCACTATTCTGACTTGAACTTTAACATGTTTAAAACCTCCACTTGGAAGTGGTGCTGTGGCTCAAGTGGTAGAGCACTTGTCTTGAGCTGAAGAGCTCAGGGACAGCGCCCAGGCCCAGAGCTCAGGCCCCACAACCAACCAAAAACAAAAAAACAAAAAAAAAAGAACTCCACTCTTTTCCCCAAAAAGGAATAATGTAAGATTTCAAAATATGCATTTCCAATCCTACTATTTATTTGGTGTAGGTGAATATTAAGGTACAAGTGAGCCTGAGTTTTGTCCTCTTTTCTTCACCCTGGTTATATGTGTGTTCACACACACACACACACACACACACACACACACATTTAGAGCTGACAGAGAACAAGTTTCACTTTAACCAGCTGTCAGGGAAGTGGGATCACAAACAACTGAAAACTTATCATACAAATTGAACTTTCATATCATCTCCCCCACAATTCAGTTGTGAAAGCTATGACCTCTAACTAAAACATAATAAAAGCCACTTCAAAAGTATGAAGTAAGCTTAATAACACAAAGGGAAGAGTCTTTGTGCTATGCAACTGAGCGCTAGCAAGTCCAATAAAAACTAGAGAGCAAGTCTTCCTAATCCTCCAGGTTTCAGGTAGAGGGCAATGAATATCCCCAACAAAACTACTGGTTATTGAATTGTAATATGTGAAAATATCTTTAAAATGAAGATGCATTGTATCCGTAAATTGCTTTGTTAAATGGCAACGCCTCTTAAAAAGAAAATAAAATGAAGATTCCATGGCTCTGACCAAGAAGTCTAGTTAGGTGGCTCAGAAAGGAGCATTTTTAATAATCTCTCCAGCCACCAAGGAAACTGGTCATTCTTACTGTCAAAAATTAAGGGAAAATAATCATGAGTTTCAGAAATAGTAAATTATCTTAGTTGGGGGAGGGAAAAAAAAGAGCAAATACTTGATTTTACAACAGTGGTGCACAGTTAAATTAAACTTACAGTATCATAAATTTCATTGAGATCGGTGGCTAAAATGTTTCCCATTCCTATTTCTTCTCCATAATAAGTTATGGGAGTTCCAGGGAGTGTAAAAAGGAGCATATTCATGGTATTGACATATTGGCTCCCAAAGCGAGAAGTCAGTCGAGTAGTCTCTGGTCCACCAGTCTGAAAGACAGGAATTAAGAATGCACTCTTTACACAGTGCTATGGAGATTTCTCCTGTTTCATAGGAAGTTCATCTGGCAGGAAGGTAAGTGTGGGTCTTGATATCAGAATGTCTGAATTTCAGTCTTTTATCCCTTTTTTTTTTTCCTGGGGCTTGAATTCAGGGCCTGGGCATTGTCCTTGAGCTGCTTTTCCTCACGGCTAGCATTCTACCACTTGAACCACAGCACCATTTCCAGCTTTTTCTGTTTATGTGGCACTGAAGAATCAGACCTAGGGCTTTGTGCGTGCTATGCAAGCACTCTACCAATAAGCCACACTCCTATCCCAATTTTAGGGGGGAGGGGTTTGTTTTTGTTTTTGTCTTATGCCATTCCTGGGGAGAATTTCAGTCTTGAGTCTTATCACTTGCTTTTGCTATCTTGGCCAATGAAAACACAATGGTGATAATTCACAGCTTGTACCGCAAATAAGATAAAATTTATTAGAGGGTTCATGTATTACACATTTGGACAAGATAATATTGACAGGAAATGAAACAAAAGCTTTGTCTTTGTATCTTTTTTTGTTGTTGTTGTTGGTTGTGGGGCTTGAACTCTGGGACTGGGCGCCGTCCCTGAGCTCTTCAGTTCAAGACAAGTGCTCTACCACTTGAGCCACCGTACCACTTCCAGCTTTTTCTGTTAATGTGGTGCTGAGGAATCAAACCCAGGGCCTCATGTATGCAAGGCAAGCACTCTACCACTTGAGTCCCAGCACTACTTCCAGTTTTTATCTGGTGGTTAATTGGAGATAAAAGTCTCACAGACTTTCCTGCCCATGCTGGCTTTGCACCTTGATCCTCAGATCTCAGCCTCCTGAGTAGGAGGTTCACAGGCGTGAGCCATGAGCACCCAGCTTCTTTGTGTCATTTTTAACAACTAAGTTCAAAAAGTCAAAAACTCTTAAAATAGAGCTAGAAAATAGAAAGGGTATATAAAGAAAAATATTTTTACACAATTATGTGTTTATACTAAGCAAAATGTTATTACAAAAAGCCCAAGAATTTTTAAATATTTAAGTTTGTAGAAGTTACAGTAAGCTAAGAATTGGCTAGATTAGACCTGACCATTAACAATAATTGAGGTACAACTGAGGATCACCAAAGGGACAAAGGTCTACAGGACTTTAGAGGTGAACAAGGGAAAAGCCTACTATGTGCTACACTGGGCTGGAGACTTACCATCCAATTAGGCCATTTTCCTTCTGGCATATTTTCCATCCAGGATGTGATAACCTCATACACTGTGTTCCCAGAAAGCGTGTCTAATGTGTTAAGATAACTGTTGAAAGGAAAATCAGCTTCATAGATAAATGGCAGGCCATAGTACATCATGGTTCTGTCAATGCTCTCTGCATAGGCTTCAGTCCCCATGAACCTGTAAGAGTTAGCAAAGGGCAATGTCTTCAGTGCCTGTCAAAACCCCCACTTTAATCATGTTCCCCAATAAAACTTGCATTATGTCTAAAAAAAAAAGACTGGGAAAACTGTAGCTATTTATATCTTATAAAATGTGAGAACTAGATGTCTATTACTAACTTGATAAAGCTGGGGCTTGCTAGAATGCCAAGAAATTCTACACCTTAACCTGATTTTTTGGGGGGGAGGTCCGGTCATGGGGCCTGAACTCTGGGCCTGGGTGCTGTCCCTCAGCTCTTCAGCTCAAGGCTAGCGCTCTACCACTTGAGCCACAGCACTACTTCCGGCTTTTTTCTTTTTGCTTATGTGGTGCTGAGAAATCGAACTCAGGGCCTCATGCATGCAAGGCAAGCACTCTACCACTGAGCCACCTTCCCAGCCCCTCAATATTTTTTTTAAAAAGCCTACATATTACCATAATCATGCTAAAGAATTACAAAGATAGAGCATATTTGGCTCTATCAGTATTGTTCTCTGCTTTCTAAACTTGATTGAAACTCTGCAACATTGTGATCAAGTTAATCAACATTGTTGTTGATCAACCTGATCAAGTTACCTCATTTAATGACCTTAGAAAAGTTATTTCTATTACCTTTCTATTGATGAGAAAACTGACACAGTAACTACTAGCCCCAGGTCAAACCAATGTCCAGCAGGAATTCTCTACCTCAGGCCATTTGATCCCCAAGCTGTTTCTAATAACTACTGACAGTTTAGATGAAATCTTTCAATACTGTAATCGGAGCTGGACAACCAATGATAAAAATAATAGTTCATAGCCGGATGCTGGTGGCTCATGCCTGTATTACTAGCTACTCAGGAAGTTGAGATCTAAGGATTGAGGTTCAAAGCCAGCCCAGGTAGGAAAGTCCATGAGACCCTTATCTCCAATAAACCACCAGAAAACCAGAAGTGGTGCTATGGCTCCAGTGGTAGAGTACTCGCCTTGAGCTGAAGAGCTGAGGGACAGTGCCCAGGCCCAGAGTTCAAGCCGCATGACTGACAAAAAATAATAATAATAAATAGTTCATGGATAGCATTTAATTCATGTATTATTTTTAATTGATTTAATTTTCAAGACTGGAAATTGGAAATCATCAGTTAAGAAACTGAACAGGGTAATCAGACCCTGGCATAACAGAGTTATAATAGAATATAAGTATACAGTTTTAGTAGTTTTTTTGGTAGGTTTGTAAGACCTCTGAGTACGCCTGGTAGTAAGGGGTTTAACATTACACCTGTGAAGAACAGACGTGTGTCCTGCTCTACCTGTATCTGCCAGGCTCCCTGCTGTACTGGTCCATGGTCTGCCGGAAGCTCTGGACGATTTCATGCATTCCCACTTGTGTGGTGGTGAAGTCATGGTACAACTCTGAGTAATGGGTGACTGTGTCCTGTGAAAGCCACACAGCATGGTTACCATCATTCACGTGTCACATAGCCACAGCCAGCTCCCTTCACAGCGCTTGTGGTAAAGAAGGTATATGTACAAGGTGGTCCCAGGATTTTCAATTACTCAGGAAGGTGTGCAAATAGAGAATAGTCACAGCTGTTAGTATTTCATTTTTTTCTACTTATATAAGCAGTTAAATTTATTTTTCTATTTAATTATTAAGTTGTTGTACAAAGAAGTATCAGGTTATGAGTATGTTGATCAATGTCACCCCTTCCATCGTTCTATCCCATTATACCCCTCACAAACCAACCCTCATTACATAGTTCATTTTTTATATAATGCACATTGAATATAAATGACTAGTTCATTGGATGAATACCGCATTGGATGAATAAATCATTAATCTTATGCATCTAGTAGACAACAAGTATTTCTCTAAATTATCACCCATTTCAACAAACTAAATCTTTTCCAAACATCAAAACATTAATTACAAATATACTTAAAAACTCTTCCTAAACACATAATTGACTAAATCTTTCAGACACTTGTATAGGCAAACAAAGATGTGTTCCTGATGAATATGGAGTTCATTATCACACTTTCTTTGCTCACACAAAAAATCAATCTCATATATTTTAATTTGTTTCATTACCATCGCTATCATTGTTACTAGTATAATTCCTTGAGGTTTCAGTAATTTTTTCTGATAGTCATGTCTTGCCTTTCTAGGATTATAAGAATTTAAAGATTGCATCTCAAACAGGCAAGGTTTGGGGCCTGGAATGGGACACATTCTAAACATTATTGGCTGTCTGTTTTGTAGACTCTTTCTATAAGTGAGCTGCACTTTTTAAATTATGTAAAAATCAATTTTTTTGTTTTTTTATATCTTGGCTCTTTTTTTTCTAAAATTGCATGCTACTCTTTCTTGAGTAGCACCCAAAATCCATTGTTCTAATCCTATATATCCTGCAAACATATGCCTCTTGACATTACAATTAGCAAAGTTACTTCAAAGAAACTTTTCCTTTGTGGAACAACTGGCTAGCATAGCCTCTCCATTTCTTATTGGAAATCACACACACACACACACATGTTTAGTTATAACCTTCGGGTCATGACCTGCTCTCCAAATTGGCCTGTGAATAGCCATCTTCTCATTGTTTAACTTATTATCATCTTAATGAAGTTATAATTATCCATATATCTCCTCAACAAAAGCTAGAACCTTGATAAACAACTACCTAACTATATGGATTTCATTTTACTTCACTAAAAGGGTCTTATTTTATATATAATTTTACTTTTTTCCATTACACATTGCATGGCTGACTCATATTGCTATTTGTCATTGTAAATCAATAGTTTTGTTTTTGTCGGTAATGGGCCTTGAACTTGGGCCTGAGTTCTGTCTCTGAGCTCTTTTTGCTCAAAGCTAGCGCTCTACCACTTGAGCTACAGCGCCACTTCCAGTTTCCTGGTGGTTAATTGGAGATAAGAGTCTCACCGATTTTTTTACCTAGGCAGGTTTCAAACTACAATCCTGAGATCTCAGTCTCTTAAGTAGCTAGGATTACAAGTGTGAGCCACCAGCACCCAGCTAAAATTATTTTGATTAACAGAAAATATTCTCTACATTAGCATACCATATAAATTGGTCATTTTGAAGTGTATTTTAGGACTACTGTGTATTAATGTGACTGTAGAAAAATAAAACAGCAGTCAAGCAGGGAGTAAGGCAGACATGTGACTACCATGTCATGGCACAGTAGCGTCTGGGGTTTAGGGAGAGTCACTAGTGTGGAATCCCTAAGCGCCAAAAATCTGTAGTGAGCAGCTTAGTTTGGAGTTCTGTTGATCACCTCTAACACTGGAGATGTTCACTTCCCTAAGATTTGCAAAATGGGGATCATGAAAGCTCTCTTCAGGATATTAAGAGAATTACATGAAATCCAATAGACACTTGGCCAGTGTTAGTTCCCTTTCCTTCCATCTTGAGGCCTGGGTGAGCTGCCAAAAATCTCAATGAACAAACTGTCCTCTACTCAGTAGCCTTTTTATAGTCTCTACTGTGTCGGCAGAACCCTCACCACTGGGCCCTCAAGGGGCTTCAAACTCTGGAAAGCACACGGGAATGAAACATCTGGCACATTCATCTGAAACTCATGTTTCCTGGGCTGGGAAGGTGGCTCAGTGGTAGAGTGCTTGCCTCGCATGCATGAGGCCCTGGGTTCGATTCCTCAGCACCACATAAGCAGAAAAAGCCAGAAGTGGCTCTGTGGCTCAAGTGGTAGAGCTCTAGCCTTGGGCTGAAGAGCTGAAGGACAGCACCTAGACCAGAGGTCAGGCCCCACGACCGACCAAAAAAAAAAAGAAAGAAAGAAAAAAAGAAACTCGTGTTTCCTAAAGAAAATGATTCAATATGGTTGAAAATGTTTACATGTAAACAGAATAATTAGAAACTTTAAAAAGCAATATAAACAGAAATGGAGTGAAATTGATCAAAGCACATTATATACAGGAATGGACATCTCACAATGAAACCTCTTTGTACAATTAATAAACATTAATAAAAATATAATTTGAAGTACTTCTATAGACAGGACAGGACTCACCTTTGTAATTTATATCTCTAACTAAACTAGAAAACACGATAACATTTTCAGAAAAGACAAAGAAAAAAAATTTAAATAAAACTTTACCGTAGTTTGAGATTTATTTACTTGGATTTCATCTCTCAGATGCTTTGCTTCCAGAAGAAATTTAACAGCATCAAAACTAAAGCCATCAACACCCTTTGCAAGCCAGAACTTCATTATTTCCTAAACACAAAGAAGCAAAATGCTTGGTTATATTACATACTATGATCATAATTTTTAATGAACACTTAGTATGTGACTTTCATTATAAAATGGACATTTCTCTTTATGAAACACAGTATTCATATAGCCTACTTTTATCTATTTACTGCAATTGTGTTTGCATAATGAACTTGCAAGTTAACTGTATTTAGGGATGTCCCACACCTCCACATTTCAATTCAGAATTATAATTAAAACTACATTTCTAACAAGCAGCCAATGTTTAGAGAATGTAATCCAAATGAAAGAAAGCCATGATGAAAGTCAAAACTCAGGGCAAATTGGGAAAGTATTCCATCTCCCTCAAACCCAGCTTCCTAACAGTCATTCCAATCTGAAAGAAACTGGCCAGTTTGTTTGATAAATATGTCACTATCAGGAAAGCAAGTGAAAAGCTAAACGCTTGGGTGTTTAAAGGATTCTCTTTTATCAATAATATGAGAGGAGCACAAGAGAAACTAGAAAAGGAAATCAACCTTTTTAGTAGGAAAAGAAAGAATAGTGAAGATGTGGTGGTGACACTCAGACGTAAACATGGTTTTGCATATATTCAAATAATACACGATTAATAGTACATTGCCCAAAGAAGCTACTGCTTTAATGTGTTTCATAAAATAAAAAAATTGATCTCAAGCTAAAATAAAAATCCAATGGAATTCTATGCTTCCATCAGAAAGAATGGCATCGCCCCATTTGTAACTAAATGGAAAGACTTGGAAAAAATCATATTAAGTGTGGTAAGCCAGACCCAAAGAAACATGAGCTCCATGGTTTCCCTCATTTGTAATAATTAGTGTATGTCTAAAATTACAGTATCTCAATAGCCATATACATATGACCATATAAAATGATGCTGGGGCTGGGAATATGGCTTAGTGGTAGAATGCTTGTCTGGCATGCATGAACCCTTGGGTTCAATTCCTCAGTACCACATAAACAGAAAAAGCTGTAAGTGATGCAATGGCTCAAGTGGTAGAGCACTTAGCCTTGAACAAAAGAAGCCCATGCCAGGCACCGGTGGCTCATGCCTGTAATCCTAGCTACTCAGAAGGCTGAGATCTAAGGATCCCAGTTCAAAGCCAGCCAAGGCAGGGAAGTCCATGAGACTTTTATCTCCAATAAACCACCAGAAAACCGGAAATGGCACTGTGGCTCAAGTGGTAGAGCGATTGCCTTGAACTGAAGAGCTCAGGGACAGCGTCCAGGCCCAGAGTTGACCCTTTGTAACAATGAGATGTACAAGACACTATGACTATGTTGAAAATGAACTTTACAACTTGGGGGGGGGGGCGGGTTGGTAGTTGTGGAGGTGGGAAGGAAAGGATGGTAGGGGAAAAACAAAGGAGGAGGCAACAATGTTCCATAGGAAATGTACTCATTTCCTTGCTCATGTAATTGTAATCCCTCTGTACAGTATTTTTACAATAAAAAACATACAAAATTTTTTTAAAAGACTGAAGAGATGACAACTGATCTAGAGACAGAAACTGGGAAGGGAAGTAGGAAGTAGGAAGCCCAGGAACCTACACAAAAAGAACTTGCATAGAAGGGAATAGGTATGAGAATGGAAGATGGAAAGGGAGGCTTCTGGGTTGAACAAGGTGGGGTTAGGACAGAGAGGGCGGGGTTTCCTTTCCAGGGAGTCTCAGGCGAAGGCTGGCTGCATGGCTACAGAGCTGCTACATTTGGATTGGGCCCTTGACTCCAAATGGGCCTTTCTGCTGGTTTAACACTCTGCTCTTCGTTGCATGTCTTGAAATTCTTAGTAATTTTGGAACAAGGGATCCCACACTTTTATTTAGCATGAGCTCCACACTTTATGTAGCTGGTCTTTTATGGGTTCTGTATAGAAAAACCAGGGTAAAGGAACAGAAAGAGATGCAGTGGGGTAGGCAGGCTAGGGAGGTAGTTTAGATTTAGGAGGTAACATTTCAACAGGGAAAATAAGAAGTGATAGAGTAAGCCAAAGAAGGTCTGATGAAAGAACATTCCAGGCAGAAAACAGTAGTGGAAACCAACTTGAGCAGTAAAAAGAGAGCTAGGATAGCATAAGCAAGGGGCAAGGTGGGAGGGGTAGACTCACAGGCCTAATTTTGGAATTAATGGTAATGATTTAGTATGGGGTTCGGGTAAGGGTTTCAAGAAGAAATGGCTGTGATCTCACATATTTCTTAAACATCTCATGTATGTAGATGGACCCAGCTCCACCCACCTTTGGCTCAAATTGAACCCAAAAGCCATCAATCCTGTAAAGGCTTCATCACCCAACCAGGAGATCCCTAAGGGCAAGATGGGATTCTAGTTCTGTCTCCTTTGCTTTGGCTACAACATCTGTTACTCTGGAATGAGAATGGACTCTCACTGAGTATGAGCATGTCAGCACGTTCTATAAATTACTTGAGGGAATCCACTGGTGAGTTAGAAGACAGGCAGAAAGAGAGCAAGGGGTAAAGGAAGTTGGTTGAGGCTTAGACTGAAGAAGTTCACAGCTGCAGAAGACCTAAGACCTGGTGGGTGTATAAAGTCTCCTTGTTTGTACAAAGGTATAGCCATGACTTCTAGGGTCAACTCATGATGACTAAGTTAAAGCCTAAGCTCTAAGATCACACGTGTGTGTGTGTGTGTGTGTGTGTGTGTGTGTATGTGTGTGTGTGTGTGTGTGCATGCACACGCGCCAGTCTTAGGGCTTGAACTCAGGGCCTGAGAATTGTCCTTAAGCTTTTGTACTCAAGGCTAACATACTACCATTAGGTTGAGTCTCAGCTAGAGATAAGAGTCTCATAGAAGTTCTTGTCTAGGCTGATTTCAAACTGCAATCTTCAGATCTCAGCCTCCTGAGTAGCTAGGACTTACAGGCGTGAGCCATTGCCTGGCAAGATCACTTATCTGCACTTAGTTATGTACATATCTTTAAGATAGTCTCAACTTTTATAAGCTTCAGACAGCATGGGTCGGGTCCACCCCAGGTGGTGCTTAATTTTACAAGCATAAATCTAGATAGAGGCAGAGCACAAAGAGATGCAAACCATCCACGCAACCTCTATCAAAAGGTGAGAATGCTAGCTGGGCGCTGGTGGCTCACGCCTGTCATCCTAGCTACTCAGGAGGCTGAGATCTGAGGATCGCAGTTCAAAGCCAGCCCTGACTGGAAAGTCCATGAGAATTTTATCTCCAATAAACCACCAGAAAACCGGAAGTGGCATTGTCGCTCAAATGGTAGAGCACTAGCCGTGAGTTGAAAAGCTGAAGGATAGCACCCAGGCCCAAAATTCAAGCCCCAACTGACACGAGAGAGAGAAAGAGAGAGAGAGAGAAGAGAGAAAGAGAGAGAAAAAGCACTGACCTACATGCTGTTATAAACATTAAGCTTTTGGGCACCAATTTGTCTAGAACCAAGCTATTCGTTTTCTTCATGGGTCCTTATACATTTGAGTTTCAGCATTGCTACAGCAGTACCCAACAGTAAAGAACAAGAAGCATACACTGCTGCCACTGGGCGCCAGTAGCTCACACCTGTAATCCTAATTACTCAGGAGGCTGAGATCTGAGGATTGTAGTTCAAGGCCAGCCTGGTCAGGAAAGTCCAGAAGACATTTATTTCCAATAAAACACCAGAAAACTGGAAGCGGCGCTGTGGCTCAAGTGGTAGAGCACTTGCCTTGAGCTGAAGAGCTGAGGACAGCGCCCCAGCCCAGAGTTCAGGCCCCACAACCAACAAAAAAGAAAAGAAAAGAAACATACACCCTAGTCAAAGTTGATAGTCCTTGAATAACTGTAAGTACTAACATTCTGTGTCATCATTTGTGTTTTAAAATGTTATTTCTTTATTGTAGTTCTGGGAATTGAACTCAGGGTCTTATGAATACGAGGCAAGCATTCTAAGTCAGAACCCTAATATGCTGAGATGTTTTAAATGCTGAAGTTTTGACCCAGATAATTCAAAGTTTACTCTTAAAAAATCTTTTCTGTGTCATTTATTCCCTCAGCCACGGAGCCAAAAGAGCTCCAGATTTTCCATGCTAACTTTCATTGCTGGAGTCAAGCTCTCCCACCAGCTAGATGTTAAATGGGCACGGGGCCGGGTTCCCCCAGGCCTGAGTGAACATGAGCTCTCGGGACAGTACAGTGTGTCCTTGATTTGTATCACGATCCCAGAACTTCACACTGTTCTGATTTTTCTACTGATTATCTTTTCATTTTTCCCCCTAAAACAACACTGCTCTGAGTTTAAAATATCAATATTCATAATATCTAAACTAAGTCATCTATCTCAAGAAGAGAAATAAAAGACATTCTACAAGGACAAGGAGAAAATTATCTTCTCCGCTTATAGACAGGAGACAGATTCCCTACTGCTGCACAGAAATCTGGGCAAAATTCTTTGCTGGGCAAAATTCTCCTGCAAGAAATAGGGAGATGAAGAAGCATCAGAGATTTGGTATCTGACCAGCGAGGTACCAGCCCAGCTGTCTTTGGGCTACTTACACACTATGGCATCTGCAAGACCTCACCGATCCTTCATATTAAAAAGCCTTGCAGTTCTCTGCAGGAGTTCGGCTTCCTTTGATCTTTACACTCCCTGATCTCTCTGCACCATTGACACTGTTAACTGATCTCTTCTAGAAATATGTAGATTCCTTAGCTCCATAATACTCCGTTTGCATTTCCTTCTGTGTCCTCACAGCCCTTTAAACATTAGTGCTCCATGGGGTTCCATGTCACCTCACAACAGTACCTATTCATTGATTAGTTAAAAGGTACTTGTATAGTAAGGAACATAATGCTCTATGTGCTTTGCAAAGGTTAAGCCATCCAATATTAAAAACAGCCCTATGGGGCTGGGAAGGTGTCTCAGTGGTAGAGTGCTTGCCTTGCTTGCATGCATGAGGCCCTGGGTTCCATTCCTCAACACCACATAAGCAGAAAAAGCTAGAAGTGATGTTGTGGCTCAAGTGGTAGAG